CGCCGCCTTCAATCCAGGGCCTGATCCTGGAGACCCGGGATCGAGTCCCACTTCAGGCTCTCTGCATGGAGCCTGCTTCTCCCTCTGCCTATCTCTCTCATTCTCTCTCTCTCTGTGTCTCTCATGAATAAATAAATAAAATTTTAAAAAAAGAAAATAATGTTGTAGAGAGTAATTACACATACACACAATCCCAAACATACATCAACCGACCACTCAGAACACTGTTTATGGATAACTACCAGCCCAAACTATAACTTGTCTTGAGAGTTTGCTATTTGCATGTTAATCCGCTGACCCCAAGAAGAAGGAAATGTAGTACAGTGAAGTGTTGAGCCAAAACACTTCATTAAATGAACGTCCGGCTTTCCTCACAGTATCGTTATGAGGCTCGAAGGAGATCCTTCTTGTAAAAGTCCCAAAATTATCTTCCTTTTTGAGACAACAGCTATTTGTTGACTTTCAATTAAAAAATACATTAATAAAATTTTAAGCCATTCTTGATTTGGCACTGAGGCATACCAGATTGATTCTCCTGGGCCCTAGTTTCACAATATTTGAAAATGGTTTCAATGTAAAGTTATGAGGTTTCACGGTGGTTGTGATTATGACAGTCCTATTAATGATGAACAGTTCCTGTAGACACCCTTTTTGAGGTTCCCCTCAAAACATGCACACTGCCTAATATAGATGTATGCTCTAGTACACGCATAATATCACACAGTTCTATGAAAACACACATGGCAGAGTCAGGCAAAATGATCCGAGTCCCATTTCTAGAATGCAGAATGGTTCTATGCACTAATTTCTGTATAGCTCTTGATTAATTTTTAGTGTTAATCACATTTCATAAGTGTATAATTAAAACTGCTTAAAAATATGGCACAATGAGATGCCTGAGTGGCTCAGTGGTTGTGCATCTGCCTTCGGCTCAGAGTGTGATCTCAGGGTCTGGGATCGAGTCCAACATCAGGCTCCTTGCAAGGAGGCTGCTTCTCCCTCTGCCTATGTGTCTGCCTCTCTCTCTGTGTGTGTGTCTCTCATGAATAAACAAATAATAAAATCTTTAAAAAAAAATACAGCACACTATATAAGATTGGCTTATATCGTAAACACTCAAACATACTCATTTTGACTTTTGCATTTACACTAGTAATCGTCTTAGTGTTCTCTTACTAAAAGCAATTGAAAAACCAGGACCTACTATGTGTCTCTGGGAAGATTTCTCTAGAATTGAATGCCAAAGAGGAGCAAAGCCAGCACTCCCTACTCCACTGGTGGAAGTCTATGCTAAATACTGTCACCTCTCTCTCTACATGACAGAGGGTATGATTGTACAGGAGGTTTTGGCTCTACATTATGTAATAATTACTTTCTTAGGATAGGTAATTCTTTAATTATTTCAATGAAACAAAAATCACAATTTACCAAAGAATCTAGAAGGCACAGTTTTGGAGCAGGTAAGCTATGCTGCTACACCTTATATGGTAACTATGTTTGGAGAACTGAGGATTCTCTTTTAACAACTAATTAAAGTTTAACACATATTTTATAAATGAGAAAAAAAAAGTATGCTCTAGAAACTATGTATGGTCATAACTCTAGACTTTCTTTCCAAACTTCAGTTTCTGGAAGTTTGAGAGAGACAAAGTTCTGTGCTCACACAGTGATTCCTCTCCCTGGGCCATGTCCTTCTTTTCTTAGACTGCCTAGCAGGGTTGGGTGGGGGGAGTGTCACTGTGTTCCCACCAAATGTGACATAGGACATGGCCAGCCTGGGTTTTAAAAACATGCAGTGCCACTTTCTAGCTATTTCTTTCCCCAATGCCATAAGTTTTTCCAGTTGGCTTAGATATAAAATGGAGGATGCCACCCAAACCAGACCAGATATTCTACTGATGAGAAAAAACTTCAAAACCTTAATTTAGGTCAAGCCTCTGAGATTGAGGGTTTATTATTTCTATAACATAGCCAGGTAAGACCAGAGTTACAGAGGCTCTATCACAAATGAGTACCCTGATCAACTTAAAATAAAAAGTACTAGAAAAACATTAAAAGAAATCTTTTAAAATGCATCAAACACCTGTTTTTGTTTTTTAAGGATACTCAGAAGCCAGATACTAAGGTTATACTGAAAAGAAAACCAAATCTAACTTTCATCTTTGAAATACTTGGTGTTTACCAAAGCAGATGAGCTTTGGTTTCCAAGGCATCCAAGTATGGAAGGTCATAAGGAGATAAGGCCCAAAGTCTGCCCATGGTGGGAGTGTAAAAGGAGAACTCAGTGTAAGATAAATATAAATAACACTCCCACGTGACCACAGCCAAGCCCTGGCACTCTGTAGATGACAAGGGGGAGCAAGCCCCCCTGAGCACCTGTAACCAGAAATCCAACTCCTAGCAGAACTGCCTAGAATTCACGACACCTAGATGGTCAAAAAGTCTTCCCCAAGATGTCCCAAGTTGTTAATGCCTATAAAATAACTGGCCTAGGAGTCTGCTCTAAATTCTCCTTGGACTCACCTTTAATTTACACTTCAAATAATTCCCACAGGGAAAGTTCCCAGAGATATAAGGTCATGGCCAAAAGTCACAACACACAGAAGAAATCGAGGTCACAAAAATATAAAAGCAAAAATGAATACAAAAGTCAGTGGACTTATAAAGACTGCAGGTATGAGAATTATTCTTGACCATAAAGTAAGTATGATGACTATGTTTTAAGAAACCGTCTTGAAAAGTAAGTAGAGGACAAGCATATATAAAGAAGAATCATGGTGGGAGCTTAAAACTCTGGATGGTTTTAGCAGCAAAACAGACATGGCTGAAGCAGAAGAGAGGTAAGGAACACAGGTGCTGAGCTTCAGAACGCAGCCCAGAGAGGGTAAAGCACAGAAAATGTGAAAGAGAAGTTTTGAGATACACATGATACAATTAGAAGATCTTATTTACAGTTAACTGGAGTTGCCAAGGAAGTGAGAAGAAAAGCGCCAAGACAATATTTGAGAAACTAATGGCTGAGTTTTCCAAAAGGATGACAGACGGCAATCTGTAGATGGAGGAAATCCAGGGAACCCCAAGCTGAATTAGGAAGTCCACAATTACACACATTACAGCGATGGTACAGGACACCACACAACTCTTAAGGGCAAAAGTCATTTTTCAGATGTGGATTTTTCTTATCAGTTAATCTCCAGTTTTACTTTTTAAAACTTATTATCCTGCAGCTGAAACTAACTAGTGATCTATTAACTAGAATATCTACATCCAGCCAAGTTAAGGGCAACGACTTTAGCAATCATCCCATCAATTTGATACAACATAATAAAGCTCAATGATTTACAATGGTAGAAAGTTTCACCCTTCAGAAATTGTTAGGAGATTATAGGTATTTAACAAACATATGATTAGAAAACACAGAAGCATATCTGCTCACATCATACCGTTAAATGAAACATTTTAACGACTTCTTATAACCTACAGCAAAAACGTCCACACTACACTGTGCAAATTTAAGGCTCTTCATGACCTATGTAGTTTTCTAGTCTAATCTTCTAGCATTTTCTGTATTGCAGATCCTACAACATGCCCTGTGCCTCCATCTTTCTTTAGTGGCTCCTCCTGCCTCATGACTTCCTCATCATCTCCCACAGCAAACATCTACTCATCCTCAAAGATCCTGCTCCAACGTAGCCTCAAAAAAACAAATGTTCCACAAAATCCAGAAATTTGTCTCTTTAGTTGGCCACCATATCCCTGGATAAGTAAGTGTCTGGCATATAGTAGGTACCAAATAAATATTTGCTGAATTAACAGAATGAATAAAATATGAGTGCCTCTGGGTGGACTTTCCTTACTACACTTAGGACCAAATTATATAATCTTTCATCTCATTTATGTACCAATCTTTTAACAGTGCTTTGTGTTTGTTTTTATAAACATTGGACGTGTGCTAGAGAGCAAAGGTCATGTTATTATCTTTTTTAAGTCCTCAACTGCCTAGCAGTGCAATAAATAGCAGGCACTCCATAACTGTTTGTTGACTAAATAAATGGACAGTATGGAGTTTGAAAACTGAATCCTGCAGGTCCCTTTTCACATCTCATAGGAAGTGTTCCAGAAAACAACAAAGCTAGGCAATGCAAAAAGTCAGGGAAAAAAATGCAAAGCTGGCTGAACAACAGGGAGCATGCATCATACCCACTATATTACCAAACAACAATTTTTAGGTAATGACATGTTACAGATGGTGGAGAGCAGATGGGATGAAGCAATGCTGTAAGGAGTACATTACAATGAGAGGCAAAAAAGAAAAACAACAGCCCACTATCTTTTAATAATGTTACCAAGTGATTATTTTTCTAGATGAACCCTCTGATCAACCTTATAAAACTTCTTTAATAAGAATTCTGTTCTAAGCACTATGTTGATAGAAAATTTCCTCTATATTCATCATGGGAAGTGAATGACATGATCATTAGAAATTTATTCTGAGGCAGTGAAATTAATAAGCAGGCAACTTATGAAGAATAAAAGCTAAAGATTTTCTTTTTAGTGCTTAACAAAATCAAATCCAGTTTCCAATTATAACGACAACACTGAAAATATATGAGAATTCCATCTGAAATATTTGCCAAGCTTTGTGTTTCCTCTGTTGAAATTTTTCTCAAGTGGCATTCACATTCAGCTGCTCAAAATGCAAGGGTGTTAAATTTAATTCTTAGTCAATTTAATTAAAAGTTACAAGTCTGGTTGTTGTTGCTTTTTTTTTTTTCCTTCCCTGGGTATAATAAAATGAAAACTTTGAGGCTTCTCCTCTACATTTTTGCTGCTCCATGCTATAAGGTAGTAGATCAGGGTAAACACAAGTAGTCAAACATGGTCAATTCACTCATGTATCAACTTCCAAGACACACAGTAGGCTCATGTTTTCAAGTCTACTCAAATATTAGAAGTTCTGTGAAAGCAAAGTGCTGACGTTATATTTATTCTTCACTTACTGGCTGAAGAAGGTAGATGAGAGATTCCTCTTGGATTATTATAATTGGCACAGGAGTGATGCATGTAGCTTGGAACAGAGTGCTCACAGATGCCATAATCTGGTCAAAACGCCCGGCAAGACCTCCCAAGGTCACAATTACGTCTACCTAAGCAAGGAAAAGAAAAACTGAAAGTCACATATATTTTAAGAATTTTCAATAATTAAGTAGCATCTAACAAAGAAAATGAGCTTTCAATACTATATTTTATTTGATAAGCCATAAAGAAAAGGTAGTTATCATTTTTGTTGTTCAGACAAAGGAATTAAGTCATTTGTTTAAAGTCACAAAATTGGTGAGTAGCAGTCACATTTCAAAACCAACTCTTTCAAGTACCAATTTTATCTTTTTCCCATCTGCCTGTTGATTGAGAAAACTAGCCAACTTTACCTTTACAACTCTGCTTCTGTGTTCCTTCCTCGTCGAATCTTCCCTGATTTCACAGTCGGTGCTTCTCCTATCCATCCCATAACATACCTGTGGGCTATTCTTTTCTAACATACAGGTTTGTTGCCTCACTAGAATTTAAGTATTCTGGGGACCCGTACTGTCTTTTTTACTGAATGTTGCCTAACTCTCAGGACTTCATTTTTATGTTCACACGTAAAAATAGGATAGTGTTTGCCAATTGATAATTGATAAGGTTGTTGTGGAGTTTAAATGAGGTAATTAAAAGAGTTAAGTGTAAAGCACTGACAACATGTTTAGGAAACAGTGATTATTTAAAAATGTTAGCTTTTATTCTCTTACCATTTATAACACGGTGGATGGAACTAGATAGTATTATGTTAGCAAAGTAAGTCAGTCAGAGAAGACAAATACCATATGATTTCACTCCTATGTAGAATTTAAGAAACAGATGAACAGAAGGGATGGGAGGGGAAAATGAAATAAAAGGAAAACAGAGAGGTAAATTATAAGAAACTCTTAACTCTAGGAAACAGACAAGGTCATTAGAGGGGAGGTGGGGGTAATGGGTGATGGGCATTAAAGGGGGCACTTGATGTAATGAGCACTGGGTGTTATCTGCAACAGACAAATCATCAAATTCTGCCTCTGAAACTAGTAACATATGTTAACTCTATTGAATTTGAATAAAAAATATTAGCTATTTTATTACCTTTATTTTTGGTATTATTATAATTATATTATTATTAACATTTTTGTTATTGTTATCTATAGTTTGATGTTATTTTTCAAGTTAACAGTTTCAAGAGAGCATTTCCTGTAACTAATTTTTTAAATATTCTGTTGTTGAAAATATATTTCGAAGATATTTATCCTACTTTCCTTCTATATAAGACAGAGTAAAGACAGGCTGCAGGGAAGTGAAAGGGAATAACCTTCTCCTACATAAAGTAGCCCACAACGGACTTGAGAACAGAAGAGGCACTGCCTCCGCCCTTGACCCTATGCACCTTCTTCTGGTTATCCTAATCTCAAAATGTAGCAACACAGTCAAAGCTGGTATATTCACCATGGAAGAGGAAGGATTGAAGAGCTTAACTAAAATATTATACGAAAAGCTTACAAACAACAAAAACAGACTGCAATAATCATCATTCTATCTGGAATACAATAGAAATTATTTAAAAATAGGGAGTAATTAATAGGTTTTTAGGTTTTTAAAATAGTTCATGAAAAAAAGCTTAAATAACATTTAGTCCACGAAGACATCATGATTTAAAAGAATAACATGTTAACCAAGCATCTATATGATGTGTACAGTTCCTAGAGGAACAATAAGTGGTATGAAGTCCATGAAGCCAAAGGCTGTGTTTCTTTGGTCCCCTTGTTACAGCCCTGGTACTCTGAATAGCCCTAACACTGAAGACAGTGAGGTGTTTGATGAATGAGTAAGCGAAGACACTGCAAAAAATGACACATCGCCTAAGGAAGAAACATTAATTGCATGTTGTGGGAATATGTACATCAAAATGGGTCCCATAAAAACACAAAAGGTAAATTACATAGAAGAACCAAGATATTTGAAATGAGTTTTCTATTTCTGACTTTATCAGAATGTAGGAAGAATGGGGACTTGGGTAAGATGCTTCATGTAAAAGGTAGGGTATCAGGACAGGCACACTACAGGTAGAGGGCCTACTACTAGTTTTGGAGATCTTCCAAGAACTCAGAGAACTAGATTTGGGGTCCAGGAAGAGCATCCATTCTGGGAAGCACATATTACTCTGAGTACACGGGCAAAGAAAGGGACATCTGTTAATCTTCAGAGGAAGTGGGTAACTCGCAGGCAAGTAGGCTTAGACCTGCAGAGGAGACTGCTTCTGTTTGGAGTATCAAGTCAAGGAAATGGCTCCTCATCTTAACTAGGAGGACTTATCAGTAAGGCCCCTCCAAACCAGTGGGGAATAAGCCCAGAAATTATATACAACCTCAGAAAAACTGAAGAGAATTTGCTCTAAACTGAAGAAAAAGATATTCAAAGAAGTTATATGTGAAACATAGCAAAAGTGTTAAGGCTCTAGTAAAAAGCACGTGGCATACTCTTATGCACATAATCCTAAATTCACATCAGAAGGAAGGCCTGGTGATAGTTTATTCACTATGCAGATTCTGGAATCCTTTTTTCAGATTCTTAATTTTTCATTACTATACTCCAAGCCTTGAGGGATCCTGTAACTTTTAAGGCTGAAATTTAATCCCCCTCTTCTGCACTAAGGTATCATGATGAATAAGCAGTGTCTGTAGATCAGTGATTGAATTTTTCAGAATAAAGAAGCGGCAAGATTACTTCTCATCACTACTCATTCTCCCTACAGGAAGTATTTATTAGCAAGACTGATTAAAAACATTAGAGGATAATGGGGGCTGCAGGCAAAGGCGGGGGGCGGTGGGGTCGGCCTGGGAGGTTTCTGCAGCTCTGGCTCTGGCTCCTAGTAGGACATCCAATATTCACAGAGACAAAAGAGAGACAGACACCTCCCCTGCGCATTTACATAGGTTTTACAAGGCTAGAGTTATGTCTTTAGGACTACAATGCCACTGGGACAGTGTTCAATCTGAAATTTGGAGACTACCAGGGTGACTCTTCTATGTGGATCCAAAGCCTTGCGCATTTATTTCTAATATTACCCAGTGTGTTGTAATTTTTTAAAAAAAATTTTTAAATGTTGTAAATTTTAAAGACTTTGTATTTCCTGAGGCTTCAACATCCTCAGAGAAGCTGTGAGCACCTGGCGCAGGTGAACAGGTATGCAGGGTGATAGGCTTGTCCCTGCCACAAGCCTCCACTTCTTGCTCTCCTATGACCTAGTGACATTCAAATACACCAGCGAGGGGATCCCTGGGTGGCTCAGCGGTTCAGCGCCTGCCTTTGGTCCAGGGTGTGATCCTGGAGTCCCGGGATCGAGTCTCGAGATCGAGTCCCGCGTCGGGCTCCCTGCATGGAGCATGCTTCTCCCTCTGACTGTGTCTCTGCCTCTCTCTCTCTCCCTCTATGTCTATCATGAATAAATAAATAAAATCTTTAAAAAACAGAAACAAAAACAAACAAATACACCAGTGAAATCCTCTCACACTTTTGCTTGTCTACCTACACTGATCCCCAATAAAGTATCCCCCCTTGGGGCCCCACTCTATCTTCCAGCCCCCACCTGTTTGAGCCTGCCTGCTAGGCACTCCTCCCATGTAACCCCCAGCATGGCACACCATGTCTTCCTTTTTAGTGCCTGTAAGTATAACAAATCCTTTCATTTCAGATGTCTGTGTCTGCATCAGACAAAACAATTTCAATAACAATTATTCTTCACAATACACCCAGTTGCACTTTGTTATAACTGTTAATATACTTGAGTATCTCTCCTTCTAGAAGAGGCCCATGTATCACAGGTGTTAGATGCAGTATTTGCAACAGAGCAGACAGCAAGTATTTACTGAGCTCCCCTAAGCATATAAAAACTCAGGAAAAATTGAATAAATAACCAGAGAGGCAAGCAGCTATTTTATTAGGCTGAGTTAACATCATCTAATTCCTATAAAATAGTACTTCCCTACTTAGCAAGGGTTCAAATAGTCTGTGGCTTTTGAAAAGAGTAACTTATTTCCTATTTGTTACTTCTGGTAAAGTTTATTGTTCATTTACCATGTTTTAGGTGCCATTCTAAACACTTAGGGTATATCAATAAAGAAGATAAAAAACCCCTGCCTTCATGGAGTTGACATTCAAATGGAGGGATAATACACATACAAATAAGTCTATTAGGATGTGAAATGCTGGTAAGTGCTAAAATTAGGAGAATAACAGAGCAGGAAAGGGAAGATCAAAAATGACAGGTTGGGAATGTGCTTCACTTTAAATAGGAGCTAGGGCAGGCTATATTGCTAAAGTAATAGAACAGCACGAAGACCCAAAGAGATGAGGGAGATGGCCACGTGTATGGATTCCCAGGGCAAGATTCTTCAGACAACAGACTGTATTAAGGCCCTGAAGCAGTGACATGGCCTCAGCCAATTTCAGAAAGTATCAGGAGGCTAGCTGCTAAAATTAAATGAGAAATTAGTAGGAGAAATCAGAGTAAAATAGAAGAATTACATTTGTAGTGACTTGTTAAGTCATTGTAAAGTCTCTGACTTTTACTGGCATTAAATGGGGAGCCGTTTTGAGCACAGGAATGACATGACCTATGTTATTTCCCAAAAATCAGTATGTATCCAGAATTTCTCCACTTCTTAAATACCCACAACCTCATCACAATGACAGCTCAAGCCACAGAAATTGTCAGGGGGTATAAAGCCACCATTATGTCACACATGAAATGGTACATAGTAAGTGTCCAGCCAACAGTTCTTGAGTAAATGAGAGAATGAACAAGGATTGAAGGATATGAAAAGAGCATGGTCAGTGGATCAGAGTACTGGTTAAGCTGAAGATTTGCTGGATTTGAGGTACAAAAAAGTGAGTCAAATGGACAAAATGGAGGTTATAGAGGGCTTATTTGCTATCAACAAGGCCTAGGTGTATTCATAGAACTGAGTAATTTAGTTAAAAAAGTAAGTAAGATGACTAGACGGGATAAGTTTAAGGAAACAAGTCTGTGTATTGGAAGGTTGATTCGAGTATATTTAGAACTTATCACGGATCAAGA